TGTGTGTGTATGTGTGTGTGTGCTCAGTTTCAGCAGCATGGCTTTCAGCTGAATATTCTAGAAGCACTTTAGACCAGCCGTTCCAAGGGATTCTCTTGTGTGACTCGACAAAGGGGTCTTTGTAGGAGTGTGTGGCTCTGATCCAAATGAAGGAAGTGGGGACAGGAAGCATGTGTTTGTCTTAGATTTTATTTTGGGTTCCGACAGACAAAATGCTGTGATGGAAAAAAGTAGAACATTTTTTGCATTATTATTTTGACTCTAATACCAAACTAATATCTTGTGATCTGATTCTGTTTTTGGCTTCTATAATTGGAAGTTGAAAATATTTTATTACTTATGTTCTGTGGTTCTCGTCTTTGGTTTCCAACTCTGACCTTGACATTTTGTGCCTGTCCTTTTAATAACTGCAGGCATAACTTAGCATGTCATTAGTTTCATCCCATTTTATTTTTAATCCTTTTTAGGTTTGTGTTCTTCCTGGACCCGTGCAACATCGATATTGTGCAGCGGAAGATCAAGTCCATGGCTTTGTGTGTGTCCCAGTGCCCTGACATTGAGCTGAAGACATATGGAGACATCAAGAGATTTGCCATAAATAATGGTAAAGGATGCATCATGCAATCGCATACCATATACGTCTGTTATTTTAATTAGTGTACCATAGATATCAACTGTTTCTGTTTGGGCAGAGGAAAGCTGTGTCAATATTAATATGTAGTACTGGAGCTGTAACCTACTGGGACAATTTAGAATGTTTCACCAAGTAAAGATATGAGAATACCCATTCTGCAAGAAATGGTGCTCTTGGTTTGCTTTGGGGCATGCTTTGAGCCTTTTTTGAACAGAGAGCTCCATCTAGTGGTGTTAGAAAATACAGCAAATGGTTCATCAAGCTTCATTTGGCCATCACTAGTGAGAGGAGCTTTAGGGTATGTATAGCTTCAGCAGGTCTTTGTTGAGTTTTGGTTGCTTTTATGAATGATAGGTAAATGTTTGGTGCTTTTTTTGTTAGTTTTTTCTTGTGTGTGTGTGTTTTGTTTTTTTTTTGCTTTTTTGGCTATTGGAAGTAGTCATGTGAGCCCACTGCATAGATTTGTTTTTCTTTTCTTGCTGGAACATCTCATTTCCTGCACACACATTGCCCTGGTGAATGAGCCCACTGTCGGCTGCCCGCATTCATCAGCATTCGTCATCATCATCATCAGTCAACAGGGACTCTACCCATCATGCAGTAATGTTGAGTCATTCGCCTGCCGTCCATGGCAGACGATAACAATGAGTGCCCCGACAGACCCGTCGTGACCTCACGGGATCTGGCACACTCTGTGCCTGGGCCGGGGGGGGGGCAACAGCCCACAGAGCCACAGAGCCACTCATTGAGGTCATGACTCTGCATCAGGATGGCCTTTGTCAATGTACCCCCCACATACACAAACAGAACCACTAGCATCCTGGTCCCCACGTCTCTGGGGACTCGCATCGCCGACCATTCAAATGAGAAGCATCAGTTCTCTTTTGGGATACTTTTCAGCGTCTTCCAGGCCATCTGACATGAACTAATGTAAACATTCATGTTTTATACGAAGCTGTGTATGGGCCCATGGTCGACAGTCTGGCAGGGGAGAATGTTCCTGATGACAAAACCAGCAGCTGTGACGATGAATCTGATTCTGATTCCAACTTTTTAGGGTCCGAACTCTGCTCCTATGACCTCCCTCCACCACGGTACCCCGGCCATCCGGAGAGGTCTACGAAATGCCCTAAATTGCCGGTGTTACCAAGGTATGTGATGCTTTGTCTGATTAATCTTCTTTTTAGCTCTGCGAAAACCAGCCTTAAGAAGCCTTAATGAAGGATCACGCGCAGTCGACCCGTACTGGTCCCGTTCGTGAGACCTGTCGACTGTGCATCCAATAGTCAGGTTTCCGTCTTCAGTGTCAGTCTCTGTTTCGCCCTCTTGTTTTACAAGCTCTCGGCCCCCCCCTTTGTACCAGCGCCCTGTCCCTGGCCGGTAGTCGTGGTATTTGTCCTGAGTCTTGCCGTTCGCCCTCCCATCTCTGCAGCAAGCCCCTCCCACTCTTCAACCGCTGCACCCCGGTGAACATCTCCTGCTACACGCGCTTCGCCGAGGCCGTCGTCACCTTCGTCAGCGACAATAGCATGCTGCACAGCCTGGTGGCCGGAGTGGTGGCCAGCAAGGAGGTCATCCTGGGCCTGTGTGTGCTGGCACTAGGTAGCTATGTGCCCCCTACCTGCAGTGCTCTGCACTGCGGCCTCGCCCATGGGGCTGGACGATAAGGGAGCCATGACGGTACTCTTGGTGGCTTTTAAAATATCGCTGGTGATCTGATGGTGAATTATGTTGGGGGAATCTAATTACATTTAATGCCGTTTTAAGTTGCAGCTGGACAAATGTCAACTGGCCAACCAGATACCTATAAAGATGTTTTTTTCTGGACCTGCTGGCAGGTCTCTAGTCAGCCTTTTGTGGTTGTATTAAACGGTTAGCTAGTTAACAAAAGTATAGCTCAGTAGCTGCCTGAAGTCCGTTTATGGTTTATTCATGTTGGTGAGACATGGCCCTGTTGTGAAGGAATCCCAATGATTTAGCGTCCCACTAAAGGGTTGTGGCACTTATGCAATTTAATGGGTTTTTATAGATATAAAACATATAAAAATTGCAGTGGCCATCGAAATGATGTCTGTCAGTATGTTTATGGGAATGTATGTCCCATGTGTCCCGCAGTGCTCTCCATGGTCCTGATGGTCATCATTCGCTACATCTCCGCCGTGCTCGTCTGGATCCTCACTGCCCTCGTGGTCCTCGGCTCCCTGGGTGAGCTTCCTCCCTCCCTGTCGCATCACAGAGGCGCTGCTTCAGCTGCTTCTGCTGCTTCCTGTCCCCTCTCTCTCCTCACATGCGTGCGCCTGCTCGTCCTTGTTCCTCGTGTCTTTCCTGTAATTCGAGGACGGGCGTTGAATCCACAAAGGTCCACTTATTATTTTCGGGTAACATTTTTGAACGCTGATACCGTCCTGGTTTTTTTTCTTCCCGGCTGTGTTTAGGAATCGGCGCTTTACTGTCTTGTTTTCTGTGAAGTGGAATCCTAATTTAGAAGCCGCTGAATTACCCTCACGTCATACCTTGAGCCTCTTTAATCTTTGGCAAAAGGAGCTGATTTCATATTCAGATTCTCTGATTTTAATGAGGAATCTTTCAGGCTGTAATGACTTTCCTAGAGTCATATAAAGATATGGTTCTCCTTTCGGCTCGTCTGGGCCTTCACCCAACCCCCACCCCAACCCCCGCCTTGGCAGGTGGCACTAGCGTCCTCTGGTGGCTGTACATTGACAACCGGAAGATGGCGAACGCGACCATAGCCGCCACGGCTGCCGCTAGCAACAAGGAGGAACCACGGGACAACGTCCAGGCTCTGCTGATCTATGCCGTCGCCGCCACGGTGTTCACGGTCAGTCTGCCGTAAGCCAGGGGGCGGCGCTGAGGGAGATGCCGCGCGGATGCTGATGTCATTGACCAGCGTGGAAATGTAGTTCACAAGGCTGTTTGGCAGCAGGATGTGGAGACATTCACAATTGAATGCAGACCACACCACTGATAGCCCACCCCCTTCTCAGATTTTACAATGGGGGTAAATGTGCCATTTACTAATGCAGTCTGCACCCCCTAAGCCCCCAGTTGGCAACATCTTTTAAAAGGGACTCCCCTCGCTTGGTGAAATCTACCCCAGAAAATGTACTTGGGGGCAGTGGACCTTGGCTTTGTGTTGTGTTGCTAATGAAATTTGGACCCCGTGGAAGGATAATTAAGTACCCCTGGTATGCATTGTAGAAATTAAAATATGGCCGTTTTTTAAGCCGTTCAAATGGTGAATTCTCAATATCTAACCATGTGAATGAAACCTGAGGCTTCACTGCAGGAACGCGACAGCAGACTGTTAGACCAGAATGTTATGTTGGCTCTGTATCCTTTTCAGGTGATTCTACTACTGCTGATGCTTTTCATGAGGAAGCGCGTGGCCCTCACCATCGCCCTGTTCCACGTGGCTGGGAAGGTGTTCATCCACCTGCCCTTGCTGGTCTTCCAGCCCTTCTGGACTTTTCTGGCTCTTCTGTTCTTCTGGATGTACTGGGTCATGGTGCTCCTCTTCCTTGGCACTGCTGGTAGGTGTGTGTGTGTGTGTGTGTGTGTGTCTATGAATGTTGAAAAGGTCCAGAACATTCTGGCTCTGGTCACCCTCCTCGGATGGTGAATTTATTTATACTTTCTGTAGGGAACCCAATACAGAACGAGGAGACGGGCCTGGTTGAGTTTTGGCTGACCGGGCCACTGCAGTACATGGCCTGGTATCATGCTGTGGGCCTCATTTGGATCAGCGAGTTCATCCTTGCCTGCCAGCAGATGACTGTGGCCGGGGCAGTGGTCACATACTACTTTACAAGGTGGGACGGCTCAGACATGCAAGGGCGTAGGCTGTGCTCTCAACGTCTCCGGTGTGTTTTGTTCAATGCTAATGCTAATAGCTTCCTCTGTGCCCTTCATGGTCATGGCTTGGGGACACGTTGACGGTTTATGCTAATGGTCACTGACAGAATAACTTGGGAATCTCGTCTCAAATCTTGCTGCCTGCTGAGAGGGTTGAGTCATTGTCGAACTGCAGAGAATGCTTTACTTTGGTGGGCGATACAAAACTCCTAATTTGGGGATGGTTTACACATGGGTGAGTGTAATAAAGTCTGTGTGTGTGTGTGTGTGTGTGTGTGTGTGTGTGTGTGTGTGTATATATATATATATATATATCTGTAAACATCCTAAATCAAAATCGGCTCATCGCTCA